ATAATGTATCATTGGTCGTCACGAATGGGGTTGGTTGTACCAATGTGTTTAACAGGTCTCAATATGTACGGGTAGCGCCCCAGCCAACGGCAAATTTTACCGCTGCTAATAATAATTCCTGCACGGCACCAGTTACGGCCTCCTTTACCAACTCCTCTACCGGCGCTGTCTCTTATTTCTGGGATTTTGGAGATGGAGGTACTTCAACAGTTGCATCACCAACGCATACTTATACCACATCAGGCTCCTTCACCGTAAAATTAATAGCAACCAATAGCAATGGCTGTACCGATACGTTGATAAAGCCCGCACTTGCCAATATTGGTACCCTGGCAGTTGGGTTCTCCACCAGCACTTCGACTACCTGTACCAACACACCCATCACCTTTACCAATACAACAACGCCGGGCGCAGGCAGCAGTACCTGGTATTTTGGGGATGGTGGTACTTCCACACAAACCAACCCCGTGCATCGTTATGCCGCCGCGGGTGCCTATACAGCAAAGCTGGTGGTTAATAATGGTGGCTGTATTGACTCTGTGACCAGAACCGTTACCGTGACACCCGGACCCGTTGTACAGTTTACCGCCGCGAACCCTTTCGGTTGTACGCTTCCGCACACCGTAAATTTCAGTAATACAACGTCCGGAGCCATCAGTTATTTATGGTTGTTTGGTGATGGAGGCACCAGCACAACGACGAATCCATCCTATACCTACACTACCGCCGGGAACTATACAGTGAGATTGATTGCTACCAGCAGTAATGGTTGCAGAGATACCCTCACAATGACCAACCTGGTGCAGGTATCACCGATCACCGGCAGTATCGGTAGTGTACTGAATGTTCTTGGATGTGCGCCAGCTACGATCAACCCGGTTGCTTTTATTAATTCAACAGTGCCGCTTGTAAGCCTGACGTGGGATTTCGGGGATGGTGGAACCGGAAGTGGTGTCAATCCGGCGCATACCTATACAACTCCTGGTTCTTATACTGTACGGCTGGCGGTAACCACAAACGCCGGTTGTTCCTTTACATTTACGGTGCCTGTTAGCGTAGGTGCAAGATATACCCCTTCTTAT